GTTGCAACCATTTTCGCCGAGAAGTTTGCACTTTCACGTTATCCCGACAAGAAGCTGTTGAAAGTCGCGATGGTGATGTCGATCAGTGATGAGGCATTCCGTCCAGCGAGTGAGTCAGATGCAAAACGTGTTGGGTCGCAAAAAGAACGAAGAAAAAAGAGAGTTGCGATCTCAGTTACCGCGTTATAGGAGCGCACAGCAGCACGTTTCCAGCGCTGACATGTACAAAGGTTCGTAAATAAAAGACAGACCCATTTGACACCACTGTGTGGCTGAGTCTATTGACGAGAACCTCAAGTACAGAATTCAAAACGAGGCACATGATACTCCCTCAAATAGCCACTTTGGATGAGAAGAGACACGTGAGCGCTACGTAATGGTCGTGTATCATAAATAGGTGGTTTTATGTGCGTTTGAAATTGTGATGGGGCTATTTCTCGTCGCACGCATCATCGCTCTTATAGAGCTTACTGAATGAGCAAGATTGCTCAGCTACGTGCTATCGACGATACTGTAATAGATGAGAATATACCCGGACCTTAAATGCTTCTGTCAGCATGACTTACTGGTTGTTACTATTTCAGATCAATATCTGCGCTTTGAAGCCCCATTTTGGCGACAAAAACTTACCGTGCTGAGCACCAGATTAAACATGTTCATTAATGATTATGTACAGGCGGATGGTGAGGCGAGGCACATCAGCCAGGTGGTTGGATTACCTCCAAACCACTTGCGCTGAGTGTCCGCGTTGATGGAGCAATTACTTGATTTGCTTTGAATAACGCAGGGTACTTGTGCCTCATCGTGAATAATTATTTTGGGTAATCCCTGGGATCCTTGACTTCCTCACAACGTGGCTACGGCTCAGTAGAAGAAAGACAGGCGATCTGATAGGACTTCGTGTAGTCGCTTCTCTTATGCTTAATAACAGAATTGAAGAATTAATTTTGACAAGAGTTGGATACATACGTCAAGTGCGCGGTGTCATGGGTAAGAGACAGAGCAACATGCAGATGTGAGATACAGTCATGATGCATAAAGGTTAAAAATGCCTCATTGGATGGTGTCAACCTACCTGCACATGTGCCCATAAGTCTTTCCTCTACATCGGACCGTTGTCAGAGAAGAATTGAGCTATGCGCTCAATACTTCAATGACATCCTGTGTATACGTGAAATAATTTATTCTATCCCACATACCTACGCCTGAGAGCAGTTCGACGGTGAAGCGCTTCTTTAAGACGAAGCAACGTCTCAACTATCCCTAACAATTGAGCCACTTTCGTCATCAAAGCGGCTATGTAGCTTAAAGTCATATGAGATATACCGTTCAATTGCGCAGATGAGTTATCAGTTTGGCCGCATGTTGAGACTATCAAAGATGTAGAGAGCCCAGAGAATCATCACAAATAATCGTCTTCCAGTAATCAGCTTTTTGGGCAGCATGCGACCTATTTTTATCAGGAACGAGGAAAATTAGCGGATGCACCAAATATGTGATAAGTATCTGGTAAGGTGGATGAGAAAGAGAAGAGACATGGTCGCTCAGCGCCAAATTCTTTCAGCTCGTTCGTGTGACCCAGTTTTGTTATATTTTAAGGATTGATCAATAACTCTACCAACGGGCTTATGAAAGTGAACAGATCAAAAATAGCAAGAGCTGAAAGCGATGGGCACTTCCTCGACGTCCGCGTCGAGTTTTATATTCTGCAAAGTCAAGCGCTGACCAACACTTTGGGCCTGAAATCCCTTCTCCTGAAATCGGCGCACTTCTCGATGTCCGCATCGGGTTTTATACTTTGAAAAGTCAAGCGCTGATCGACACTTTGGGTGAAAATCCGCTTTACTGAAATTGGCTTACAAAAGTTCTTGGCGAGTGGAATGCCTTGAGTTCTTACCCAGCTCACGAAAGGCTCTAATTGCAATCTGCACTCTCGCTAGCATTCAGTACCCAAAGTTTGGCTTTCTTCGAGGGTACGAACTTTCAATCCCTGTCGTTCTAAGCACTGGCGGTTACGTAGAGGAGCAATATTCAATCAAAAGCGCTAACAGAGTAATTATCTAGTGATCATTTCACTCTTGGTGTGAACGGAAGGTCCGTATTAAATAACGCATGAATGCCCAGCCCCAGTAAGCAAGTTATACTGATATTAATATCTCTGCTTGCGATGTGTTGGGGCCTGCGAAAGTCGCTGCCACTCTTGCGCTTTCGAACAGGCAATAGTGGCTTGCTTAGCCAGGTCCAGCTCATCATAACCACGCCGGTTGTTGTCTTGGATTTTGCCGTAGGGTGTCGTAATGCTCCCTCATCAGAGAACGAGGTCGGTATATGACGTCTAGTGGAAGAGGAGTCAGAGCGGAGGAAACGCAATTTTGTCAGCGGGAGGTTCTATCGATGAGGACCAAGGTGCCAGGTCGAAGCTCGGGGTGACATTACGCATGCTTATCGGACATCATCTCGACTTCCTAAAATGCATGTCAGACCTTCGATCATGTTGACTGCATCTTTATTAGCGGATCGTTGTGTCATGAAGACACGCTATGAAGAAGGGTATAGACGAGGATGAGACACTGTAACATGCAGGTGGTGAAACTTCAAGCGCAGTAAATGCTCGTTGGACGCTCATTTTGCGCGTTGCTCGAAAGCGACTAAAAAGTGTGAACCTCAGTCTGGCTGCGTTATGAAATATAATTGTATATATACCATACAATGATGTACTTAAACATTACAATGTTCCGCAAATCTCAAATGTACCACGGTATTAATATCAATGAGGACGATGGAATACCGTCATGACGGGCTTTTGAGCACAAGGACTGTCAGCCTCATGTCTTGCAACGTTTAGGTTTATTACCTCGGACTGCAAATAAATGGATTTTGAATCAGTCTTCGTTAGGCAGAGTTCGAAAATGTGTCTCGTAAAAAGTTACGTAAGAGCAGTAAGAGTGTAAATAACATCAGAGAAATGTAAATTAGCTCCTGGAAGGAGCACACGAAGTATCCTATCGGTGTTGTTCTGGCAAATTTTAAGTCTGCATAGTTTGTGCTAGCTAAACGGTAATGTCGTTGCTTTTACAGTTTTCCTAATGCAGTTACCATTGGAACGTGCTCCAAATCATCAATGTCGGTTATACATTGTTCAGTGATCTTAGCGTTGTTGATGAGGTTACCAAATGCGCATGAGAACCAGTAAATACTTTGTCCTGGATGCTTCGAAATGCCCCAGAGGCTGTCCAGCGCACCAATAATGCCCAACCGTATATTAGGCTTGAGTGTGCATATGCACAGATATTTCATGTCGGCCTATATTTTATTGCCTTAAAGAGAACGTAAATTCAGATGTGGCCATATATGCTCACACGTGGGCAGTACTCGAGTGCATGCGACTTATTAAGCATCTGCTGAAGCAGACATGCCTACAAAGTCCCGTTTCTGGGAGGTGTAGTTGAGATGACTGGTCTGCGGGTACGTCCCACGAAGACCGAGGCTGGTGAATGCCACTACATAAATGCTTCAAGGAAGCACCCTGCTCGTACCAACTATTTGCGCACATACAGTGTGAAATTTGATGGACATAGCACTCCCCACACCAACTTTTCGAGCTGGCAAATGTTATCGGGTTGAAGCAAATAAGGTGGCCTCTAAAACCGTGAAGGAAAGCCTCATATGTGCCTTCGATCAGAACCATCATGATCCTGATTAGTCATCCACGTCGTCTGTGACGCTTCAGCCTTCGCTGTAGAAATTGCTTATTTGGGCCGATGCCGATGGGCATGTATGCGCTATTGCGTTAGATCTTCGCCATTTGAAAGTAGCCAAAATGACTGATTGAGCTTAAACCACGAATAGTGGTGGTCATTTCTGTTTTCGGATGTTCATGGTACTTTTTACAGCACGAAGATTTTTGTGAGCTATACAGATCGAAAGGTAGCGTTCCGCAAAGCGACAACGTGTCGAGGATGTCTCGCAAATTGACAAGATGCTTTTAGTTCTAGCCAGATATATCTTTCCTTGAGGTAAATCTAGGCCTAGAAGGCTTAATGTGATGGTAGGAGTGCTTTTGCGTCATCCAGACTATGCATTACATCAGACCGATTCCTCTGAAGATGGTACCATGGCTGAGTTTTCATATTTTCAGCATCAATTATATATAGTGTAATACTAGACATAGGCAAGGCTTATCATGTACCTTTCTTCGTCACTGGCACGATAGTCGGGAGTATCTGTTTAATACTTGAAGGTGCATCTATCATTACATGTGTTCGAGTATCTTTGCATCGAGGATCGGTATCCTAACATTTATCTAGCACTATTAAAATTCTGATACAATAAAAGCGAATAAATTTTCGTCAAATATAGATGGCAATACTGATTAAGCCATCCAAATTTAGATATTTTCAGCTAGAAACTTGTCCCTTTTTCCTTCAGTTTCTTTTATATAAATCTATACAAGTCGCATTCGACTGTATATGTGATGCTTTCTGTACACAAGAAGCATTGTATTACAAAATGCATTGATTTGAACGAGTGCGTTGAACTATTTATGCTTAAAGAGGAGTCAGAAAAAAGCAGTCAAGAAACAAAAAGCTACTTTCCAAGGGATGAGACGGATGCTGTGAGAATTGATTTCTTATCGCATAAATACGTCGGACAATGATATAGCACAACCAGCGTCGCCAGGTACGAGAGTACCGGTAACCTTTGCTTCTTACAGTCTCATTCGTCAATAGTCGCACATGCACTTTTGCTCCATGTATTAACCACAGTATCAATCTACAGCAGAACATACTTAATATTCATTGTGACATATACATGAAATACCTATAATGCCAAATAGTCAGAAAAGAGCATGTTCTAATTCTTCATGAGATAGACGATACCCTACATCCATGATGCACATCAAACTCAGTTGGACTCGTCTGGATCTATAACCTGATCGGCTCAGTACAATACAAAGGTAAAAAATCGTGTCATTTTGATTCTGACTCGATATCATTCAGATGAACATCTTTCTCTCGATTATACTGGCAATCATTGCCACGAATGTCTCGGCTGAAGTGACTCAAGTTCATCTCGGTGTCTCCAGTCCAAACGTTGGCTGTGCCAATGGCATTGCCGTCTCCTTTGCTACCGACAATGCTCAATCGTATCCCGTCACTGCAACAGCAATGGACTCAGCAATCAGTACTCAATCCACATTTGTCAACTACTCAGTCTCGGAACCTGCACATAATTATAGCTACTCGTCACCATTTCTTCATACTGCACTCTTGTGCAATTTGAAAGACAGAACAACTTATACTTATATGATTGGTCTTTCAGACTTTGTTGGTTCGTTTGTGTCATTATTGCACCCTGGTTCGGATTCAGAAGAGACCATTCTTGGTGTTATTGGAGACCCTGGTGACACGAATTCGTCCGAGGCAACATTTGCTGAAATGAAGAAAAAGTTTGAAGGCAAACACATTCAGTCTCTTGTTATTGCTGGTGATTACTCGTATGCTAATGGCCATCATCTACAATGGGACAATTGGTTCCAATCGCAGCAGAATCTTACATCCGTTTACCCTCTTGTAGGGATTAATGGTAACCATGAGACGATCACATCAGCGGGACATTTAAACATGTATCCGTACCCAGAAGACGTAGAATTGGACGCAGAGAACTATTTGGCGTACCTTAAACGGGTATATACACCAATAACTAAAGAAGCTCAAGAAGCATTACGCACATGGTACTCAGTCGACATTGGATTAATCCATTTGGTCTTTTTAGATGACTACACGGGGTCAAGAGGCACGAATACGACAGTTGTGGGTACAGCATCGTGGTTAGCAGATCGTAATGCACAGCTTGAATGGGTCAAGTCGGATCTTGAACGTGTAAATCGAAGCATAACTCCATGGGTTCTTGTCATTAAGCACAATCCATTTTACAATACGTGGAGCAATCATCAATGTCAGTGTTCGTCCACGATATTTGAAATTGACGAGGATGATCTTGAAAAGTGTTGGAATGGGACATACTTTTCAGGAATTGTGTACGAAGAGCCACAGTGTGGACAGATGGCCAAATTAGAGGAAGTTTTTGCAAATAATGGTGTGAATGCTGTGATCACGGGTCATGTACATGCATACGAGCGTACAGCTAAGATTTACAAGAATAAACAAGATGCGACAAAGGGAATTTATCATATTACAACGGGTTCTGGTGGTAATTATGAAGGTCCTGCTGGTCCTCGCATCAACGCATCGCAGATTCCAAGCTGGTCACTAGTAACAAATAACGTGACATTTGGAAGTTCGCGTATTATTGCCACACGCAAGTCAATTCGATTCTTATGGTTTGCCAATGACAATACAACAAAGGAATCTGTACCGACTGATGGATTTACTATCTTTGCAAACGGTCCCGACGTGACAGAGTGGCCCCAGACCAGCCCAACTTTGTCTTCTGTTATACAAATGGAAGTGGATCCAGATATTAAAGCTACACTAGAGTCCAAATATTTCTCTTTCTTAGATGCTGTTCTATTAGACCCGGATAATTAAATCTGTTTAATAAAAGTTCTCTAGATATAAAATTTGTACTTACAATATTACAAAAGCTTTAAACCAATAAATTTTTGCAAAAACAATAATATCATTTTATAATACATTAGATATGGGTGTCTGGTCTGTATCTCATGCGCCTTACCGTAGCGTCTTTGTTTTCTGCTGAGGAATATTAATCGGCTGCGTCGAGCTCGGGATCGTTTTCATTGAATGACTTGCTTTTTTATGATGTGAAAGATTTCGAGCACGTGCAGAGCTTATGTCATTCCCTTCGCTTTTTGGTCGTGGCAAGCCCTTCAATTGCAACGAAGCTGCAAACTTAAATGCTGGATTCGTAAAACCCACACAACTCTTCTCACCTTGTAATGTACGCACCAACTTTTTGGTAATCGACAGTCGTTCAGGACTCGGTTCTGATGCTGGTATCGTCGTACACTTTTCCTTCTTTGCATCGGCTTCAAGTGCCGTTGCGTTGCTCAATCGCGTCGCCCACATGGTTCGATTCCGCTCAACATTTGCTAAACATCCTTCCAATCCTGTTAATAAGCCACTCAATGCTTTCCACAATGGAAATGCACACGAGTCCACAAACGCTAAGTTAACGCGCGCAAATTCTGCCGAATCGGGACGACCATCCATAAAAGCTGTCGCTGAGATGCCCAATTCTACTTCTTCAGCATGTTGTTCATTAAACTCTTGTAACAAACGAGTTGTCCATCGGAAATGCTGTTCTTCCGTTTGCGTCGGTCCCGAAATATCAGCTGAGTGGACTACAGCATCCACCAAAAGCTCCCGTAGCGCCTCATCATCATTTCGACTACCGCGCACCTGTGCTTCATGCAGTTTAGCCACAACACTTGCGTGTCGGTGCATATCCGTTGCAAGAATCGCTCGAATAATCCGTTTGCGGACAGCGCGACGAATTCCGACAGTTTCACTTGAGCCATCCTCTAAACCGGCTAAGACATCGTGACCCGGTCGTCGCATGGTCTCAAAACAAGCCGCAGCGTGCATGTTTTCGAGAACTGAATGATCATTGTATCGACGCGCAAGACGCGAGCTGCATCGGACATGAAAATCGTTCGTCCGTGCGTCGTGACCCATGTCATGGCAAAAGGCGGCAACAAAGACGGCAAGACGTTCTCGTGGCGAAAGTATGAGCTCGCCACAGCGTCTTTGACGACTTCGTTCGATAGCTCGAGCTTTCGTCGATGGTCCCACATTATGCGCACTAGACGCAGGAATCAGCGACGGCGCAAGCAGTTTACTTTGTGCAGATAACAGAAGAAATGTTACATGCAGCGTCGTGAAAGCGTGGTACGTATTGTGATACGGCACATCAAGATACTGCGTCTGGACGCTGTGAAGAAAGCGACGGAGCGTGGCTTCTGACAGGGAAAAACTATCCATGAGATCGTGAAACTTGAACATATCGACAGCGAGATCGATGAGCTGTGCCGGAGAAAATTGCCACACATCCAGATTCCATTGTAAGATTGGACTGGATGCGCCTTGACCAGGCACCGGGTTTAAATTGTTTATATGAGCAGCGAGCATTGTTCCATTGTTGCCACTACTACCAAAAAAGCAGCATTCATGATACGATGTCGCCGCGACAATAGCCGCAGCATGATCATGGTCACTGACTACAGACGGAAGACGCGAGCGAGGACGGCGACGGCGACGAATCGGAGACGCCGTCGTGTATTGCGATAAAAATGTTCGCGTCACATGACTCTCGCCTTCACTATCGCTGCTGTCACTATCATCGTATGAGGGCGATTCGAATACCAGTTCCCATGCACGGCGTTCAACAAGTGTAGACAGCTCGACACATATCGCACGCAGCACTTGCTCATCTTCAGAATCAAAGCCTTCGGACTCACCATTTATGTTAATCTTATTAACAGCGTAAAACACACCAATCACCGGACGATCATCACCGTCATCGTCTGTGCTACTGCATGTACTGAAGCTGCTACTACAGCGCCGTCCCGCTCTTCCTGTAGTTGACGACGATCCAAAATGTGTGGATGAAGACGCACCCATTAACGGTTGTGCTTTAATCGGTACGCACAGCAGACTAGATGTCTGTAGACCCAAGATACGATCATACTCACTGTCAAATTCGGGATGAAGTTGAGCTTCCCGAACAAGACGCAAAGCAGCACCCGTCGCCGCAACCCGACCTTGCAGCCTTTGTCCAATAGGAAGCGAGTATCCACGCCAGTCTGCTCCAACGCGTGCAAATAGCGAGCGACTCGGTGCATCCACAATAAACAGCGCACCGTGCGCGGCCTGTAACGCTTTACAAGTGGCAGCTTCCATAGATGAAAAGACGGCACCTGCTTGATCGCCTGGCATCGCTCCGATCGCAGCAGGAAGACGTAGGGATAGCAAAGCTGCACTCTTACGCTGAGCCATTCGTGCAGCGTCCAAACGCTGGGTATGCCGTAGTGCCGAGGCAACTAAGCGAGCAATATCTCGGGCCAATTCTTCATCTTGTTGATCAAAAAATACTTTCTCTCGACTTGCGCGTAAGGGCGATTCGTTCGAGCTCAATTGCTTGTCTACCATCTCAAAAATAGCCAGCACAGAGCCCGACGTCGGATCTTTTACAGGAATGGCAAGCACAGGTTTGTTGTGCTTCGACTCAGCATCGTACAGATTCACGACATTTCCGGTACGCACCGCTGCCATTGCTCGGACACTAGCTGATGATACTGGCACACTCAATTCCCCCTGTGTTGCATTACCTGGAGAGTATAGTTCATGAGTCAATGGATCTCGGAGAAACACCGTACACTCTGAAGTACAAAACCATGTTTTTTGTACTATCATCCGTGCCACCTTAATAAGCATCGTCGCCGGCTTCGGAGATCGGTCCAGTTCACGAAAAAGCAAGTCAGATACTTCTAATAGCGCTTGTGCTTTCATTCGCGCCGTTTTCGCAGTCTCTTCGATTGCCAATTGATGGAGAAATGCACCGACATGACTACAAATGACACGACACAAGTCCACATCACACTGACGAAAAGCTTTGTGAGTGTCACATTTCGCATCCTGACTTTTGTAAAAGACGACAACACTATTCACGCGCACATTCTGCCTGGATTCAAACGTGGGTATACAAAGCATGTCCGTATCAAAGAGAGGTTCAGCAGTCGAAGCTGCTCGTCCAATAATTCCGTGTCCCATGTGTACCGTCGCAGCATGATTGACGCCAACACTGACACGACAAGCCCATAATACATTTGCGTCCTGATCGTGTGCGTACACAATCCACCCGTCGAGTCCAAGTGCACGTTGCAACGAGTCCAGCACATGCGAGACTTGTACCCATAAACTTGATGCTTCACTCGTCTGACATTTGCTGCTTAAAACATTCTCACTACCTGCATTTGAAGTTATTGATCGAATCAAAGCCCCAACAAAGCCGCAATAATCAATCAGTGGAGAACGTGTCAATTGAAACGACCGCAAAGGTTTCGAGTGGTCCATCTCACAATTTCCAAGCCACGTAGTGATATCATGAGCTTGATATCGCGTGTTGAATATCTCAACAATAGCCTGAATATGATCGTTACAATCAACTAAAGGCAAACAGAGATATGACTACAATAAAAAGAGTTAGTACGAATTACAGAAACAATCAGAATGATTGCATCATCTACTAACCTTCAAATCATGCCACCCATCAGGAGGTTTGATAAGTGCGTTGGCACAGGCTGTAGCAGTGGAATAAAAAGTTGGACAATCGATAAACTCTTGAGTTCGTTGCCTTGTCATTGATGTTCCAGTACTAGGTCCAACAATATGTTGACCATCAAACTCTATCACAGAAGATGGCGTCACATTGACACTTAAAATACAGTGTTCTGCATCAAAAAGCGATAAAAATTGATCTCGCAAAGCTAGAAAGCGATCGAATGGACAAGTCATAGAGTCTGGAGCGGATAGGTACCCAATCCAAGCGTCAATCAGGGTATACTGAGCATTTAAGAACTGGCGGGTAGGATCAAGAGCAGGTTTAAGTAATAATCTGACCATATTCATCATATTTTAACAGATTAAACGAGGCAAGTATACCATTTCAGTACTAACCGTCGAGTTACACGAACGTGGGTACGCAACAAGTTCCACCGCATTTGCGCCTGCCGTCGCACGGCATTGTCCACGGTCTGTTCCTGCCTGTCGTGCATTCGATTGATTACTTCAATACTTTCGTGGCCAGTCGTAAAGGTGTTATATGCAGGCTTTCTAGTCATGTAGACGTGATAAAAGTCTAACCCCCCGCTGGTCCCGTTGTAGTCGAGGATTTGAGTCAAGTGTGTCTATGTGTCTTTGCCCTTTGTGCACAGACGATTTGGGATGGGGGGGAAGACAGAACAGTGGCCGTTAAACATGTGGAGAGTGGGGTTGAAGGCTCCTATAAGTGTCTCGGATGCATCCGACGAGCGGCTCGACTGCTGTACCGAAATCAGATGGCATCTCTATTTTTATTACTTGAGATAAAGTACTATTAATAGTAGTAAAAAGCTTATAAAAATATCATGCTTGAAACTTCAGAAGGTCATATCTTAAGAGAGACGGTATGATTAAACCCTATTAAAGCTATTGCTGACGATCGAACATTTCTCACAACATGAGGTTTTCTAACGCTTAATGGCACAACATTGACAGCTGAGTGACAGCTGAGTCTTGTTTCTTGGTTCTGTGTCTGCCCAGAATGAAGTAACGGATGGTTTGGGACACTTGGACCAGACAGGGGGATCGCTCGTCTCTACGGTATTTCTTGAATTCGTGCGGTGAAATTTTTGGAAATAAACAGCAAGACATGATGAATGTGTTTGTGGGGCTGCTTCCTCAATTTCAGATTCTTAAACGAATTGAAAATTAATGAATTGACGCATGAAATTGTGTATTGTACGAATTTTCTTCTTAGGAGTGAAAGGTCTGCCGTAGGACGATAATAATTGTCCCCTGATTCGAATCAGCCGCTTCATTTGGTCCGTTTCAATGCAAACTTATAGCAGTTACTGCAGCACTCTTTGTATTTCCTCGCATTGATATGTTTAAGGCACACCTGCACGTGAAATACTGTAGTGAAAGGGAAAAATTTAGCGAAATTTCTGAAGTTGTAATTGTCGAAATTTAGTTGAAAATACTTCAACTGCTAAAATTATTAAGGAGCCGAAATATCGAAAATGTATCCATGGACCGTCTTCTGAACCCTCTCTATAGTGAACTCAAATATACGACGAGATCCTGTGACAAAAGCAATATGGAAAACACGTACCACGTTAGTTTACTCGAATATATATCGATCTCAAAAGTGGGACGTGAGCCTTGATGTAGCTGACAACGTCAAACATCATTTCTGTTGTCAACACGACGTTGTGGGGAGCTTCTGAAATTATTGTGTCTTTTGTTAAGTAAATCAATAAATTGAAAAGTCTGCTTAATTTTATAAACACTGTATTGCAAATAATTTATTGGTGAGACACAGACGGTAACGAAACAACTAACGATACCGTGGACAAAAAGCGTAGCTAAACACAACAAGGAAAGCAGGATCGACGTGAAGAATACTTTGGCTTCGAGATTATCGAGCAACTAATAGCATAATACGAAAATGTCACAACTCATAATTTACCTCCCTTAAGATAAATTGAATGCAGAAACTGGAAATTTCTGCGAAATTTGATACAAATGTTCCGAAAATGTACTGTAGTCAGAAATTTGGAGGTAAAATAATGATTACGTTGGAGCTTTTGAATTGCGAGGTGGCTGCACAGTCAGACAGCTGTGGCACGTGCACAAGCTGAACAAGTGGTCATGACCATAACGAAAGCATATAGTAGCTACCAAAAGCAGCAATTTTAATTGTGTAGGGGCAACAGTGCAGTAGCGGGGGCAATCGGTCTTGACACTTGCTCGGATCCGACCCAGCCTATCGCAGCTAAGCTGGACTCTGGGCGGACATTTGTCAACTTGATTGCGAGAACAAGATGAGCTGGACTCTCGGCGGACATTTGTTCACCTTGAGAGCGAGAACAAGATGGAGAGTTTGCTTCGCCAAGTCAGCGCTGGCTGGACCTTCAGTCATGACCAAGCACAACCAAGCTCTGGTCGTCGTAGTGTTGCCTCTAGCAACATTTCAAGCAAGTCTCGTAGCTGCGGGCCACATCGGGGACATAAGACTTTAAACTCTGACGAGGTTCCCACGTGTCCGATTCCGATGGATAACTGCGCCACTAAACCTTCTTAAGCGTTGGTGATTCAACTGCTTCTGTCCACGATGACAAATCGATCGATCCTCGTAATCGATAATCGTCTCAACCACCTAACGACGCTGTCCACGAGAGTGCAATCGCGGAGGCGAAGCTGAACGTAAAAGCAATTTGCCAACTCTGCAAGATAAAGAGCGCTCATGGCGGACAAATTAAGGATCCTTACCCTGGCGGCCTTCAGGTGCTTAATAGCATTAAAATGCTTATTTATCTGATTCCAAAGCTTGTAGACGAGAATGGTACTCACCATAGAGTATCTCGAGAGCAGAGTCTGCAACTTTAATAGAGCATAGCAGCTGTTTGTGAGCCAACCTACGATACTTCTTGGTCTTATGGAGTCGAACAAGATCGTTATAAATCTGTTGAAACCTTAGTTCAAAACGGAACTCCAAAGCCAATAATTGTGCGAAATTATTTGAAAGAACGTCAAGTGTTGAGTTCTGCTCCGCAACAAGGTTCGAAAGGCCCTAACAGGGATCTTCAAACATCGAGCAACGCTGCTGCAATGTTGGGTGTTCTTTGTGGACATATGGAGAGGCTTCATGATCAGGTCGATCATATACCAAAGGCATAGAAGGATTGGTAGATCCACTCGGAAGCTCGACCTTAGCCTACTCACATAGGTTGTGAGAGTTAGGTGCATTTGTCTAGAGAAATGTCTAGTGTATACGCATCAGCATTGCATTTCAGCACCTTGAACGGCTCAAGGAATCTTGATAAAAGCTTTCTGCTTTCCAAGGTGGACACTGCACGTTCAGGCAGATTGTCGTGCTAAGTAGAACAAGGTCATTGACCTAATATACCCTTTTGTTCTTCCTTCCGCACTAATCTGCTTGCTCTTTCACAGGTCCTGCCTGAGCTTTAGCAATTGCGTTTCGAATAAACCGCACAACGGCTTGTCTCTTCGCAACAAGGTTGTACACGTGTTGTTCCTTACGACTTGTCATGTCGTCTAATCGACTGATTAAGTCAGAATTTGCTTTCAACTTTGACACAGCATTTAGATCTGACTGTGGCTCCTTAGTCATAGTTTCTCCACCACTTAAGGTAGGGACCTCATCCACCATGGAAGCAGGTACTTTAGGATGAATACCATAGTTTCCAAAAAATGGCGAATGACCTGTCGGAACATGAGTGGAGTTGTTTAACGCAAACTCTGCAAAAGGAAAAAATCAGCCCACTCTTTGACGTAGTGTAACTATGCAGTACGTCCTCCAGGACTCGATTGACACGCTCTGTTTGACGTCCGGTTTTAGGGTGTGCCACTACTGATATGGACAATTTGGTGCCCAATAGTCTAAACAGTGTACGCCAAAACTTCGACGTGATACGGGTGCCATGTTCAGAGACAATCTTAATAGGAAAGTCATGCAGACGTAAAGCAACGTCTACAAAGGCCCTAGCTGTTTTTCAGCAGTGATCTTATCCAAAACAAGTGCAAGTTAAACTAAGTTGCCGAACCGATCCACACACACGAGAATGTCACAGGGTCCATGTGGGTCATGCGAAAGTCCGAATATGATCTCCGTACTTACAGCTGTCAGTTGGCACTGCCAACGACTAAGGTGAGACCAGAGTGGACTCTGATGGATTCACTCTCTGGCAAATTTTACAAGTTCCCACGTACATGCGCACCCACTTATACATGTGTATCCAATAGTAATTCCGAGAAAGACTGAGAAATGCTTTCTCACGTCCGAGTTGGCCACCCGAAGGGCTGTCATGGTACTCATATGCTAGACGATGAAGCAAACCATTGTCATTTGGAACGACAACTCTTGCTGTATTCCCCTGTTCATTGTACTCCAAAATGGTGAAACGCGATATTGTGCGAGACAGAAGACCTTGCACTGCTTTGTCCAAAGAGTCCTTTAAACCCCCCGACAAATCCTGACATTTCTCATCAGACTTACTTGTACCCTTCGGCAATTTATTTGTGACTATAGCTGTTGATTGCACTCTGATCGTCTGAACATCTTCGCATTGTCGACATGACTCGTGCATGTTTTCGCTCTCAAACTTTTTATCGTAGTCCGAGCTTCTTGACAACGTATCTGCTTAGTGTTTGTCTCGTCTGGATTTAAATATAAAACAAAGTTAGATTTTCCTAATAAGGAAAGCGAATGAGCCATTCTTTGCGACAAATGAAGTACCTAACTGCCGTATAAAGCGATGCATGATTTGTATAGATCACAAAGCGCTTCTCTAAGGAAGTAGACACGGTGCAGTGGAGCTGCCCTAGCTCTTTGCTTAGAGGGAGCTAAGCTAAGCTAAGCTAAGCTAAGGCCACCGCCCTAATGTTATTTCCAGGAACTAAGACTAGTGTAGCGGATCGCAGTCCGCCACCTCCAAGTACCAAAGCCGAGCCGCTAATATCTAAAACCTTAGGTTCTCCAAATAAATATAGTGATACCTAATTCATATAGCAAAACCTAATTAATATAGTAATATGCATTGCTACTGGCGATCCTGCCACGCTTCTCTTCCCTTCTTTTCTTTTCTCTTCTCTTCTCTTCTCTTCTTATCACACCACGGTGACTATCCACGCTCACCTCTACTCGAGTCGAGTATATTTTAATGTCTTCTTACCTTCTTTCGTCGCGATGCAGTCAGATTTTCGGCTGTGTTGGTGGCTTCTTGTTACGGTGTAGCCAAACCACTGTGTTACTACACTAACTATGGAATACACACCTACGTACGGTCTCACAATGTAAAGCGAGCCGCCCTTTCTTACAAGGGCACGTGTAGTTTTGTTACACTCTCCCCCATTAAAATTATGATTATCCCCGATTCACATTTACGGTCGCCTCATACAAGGCTCGGTTTGTCTACAACACGCAAAGCACCCACTTTGGCTGGTAGCGAAGACGCACGCGGAAAAATTCCTTCTTATTCTATTTCACAGGGCGATTTTCCGAACAATACGTCCGCATCTTCACGGGAAGCACATCTTAAGCCATCGTCGACTGAGCGCAACACACCGCGCCCGCCCCGGGCGACGAACTTCCTCGTCAAGGTGTTGAGGAAGTCGACTTCGAGTCGGACAATCCTTTCTCAGCATGGGATAACGAGGAGGATGGAGTGCGCCAACGGCGCGACGTCAGGCCAGCTCGAACCTTGCGGACACCGTGCCCGTTTCTCGATCCCTCGGCTGCCGAGGAAATTTGTATTACTTCCAATAGCCTCGACGAGGCACAAGAGCAATAATTAGAGGCTGCTCACAGGGCGTATACTCCGCGCTTGTGTCCAAGTTCGGTCTTAGACCCTTGTGTGGAATACGGCTTCCGCTCGGCGGATCCCGCGACTGAAGCGAAAGACGCGGTCGCTCAATCGTTGGACGTCTACGTGTACTACATAAGCTTGATCAGCGGAAAGCTTTGCAAGCTCGCTTTTTAACAACTCAGGAGATCCCAATGGATCGGTACCGCGCTCGACTTCGAGCTCAAAAAGTAGTGCTCCTGTTCCCGCAATGCGGACCATTCCTGTGATGCTCGCCCCTGGCAAAACCGCTGCAGATAACAATGAGATCTTTGAGCGATGGGTGCAACGGCACCAGAAACTTTCTTTGCTGTCTGCCTTACAGCGGATCCACAAGGAAGTGAGCGTGCGCGTTAAGCGCCATCTTTGATTCGAGTTTGCCAAACTCAAGACGCAACGCCGACCTCCTGCGTATTATCGCCCTGTGACATATCAAATACATAACGCTCCCGCGAGCTCTGTGGCTTCTCACACGGGTGAGTCAACCACAACCGCAGCTCAGGGCCATAGCTTGAGCTTATCTCATGACCCTCCGGCCTCCCGGGCTACTGCCGATAAGCGCAGTGCATAAGACGACGCGAAGAGTCATGATCCTCCTGATCATAAGCGTCCACGACGTCTAGGCAGTCTTGCCGAAGTGGCACCTCACACGCCCACGAGTTTTTGGAGTTTGAGTATCCCCGCCACTTAACAAAATATTGAGTCAAACTCGCCGACGACGTCGACCCACAACGCGTTCCA